TACATCTTCATAAATTGTTTTAAGTTCTGTTAGGATGAGGTTTGGTGGATAAATACTAGTATAGAAGTGTATCCAGTGTGGAATCACACAATTTTTTTTTTTTAACATCTTTATTGGGGTATAATTGCTTTACAATGGCGTGTTAGTTTCTGCTTTATAACAGAGTGAATCAGTTATACATATGGAATCACACAATTTTTAGCATTAAAAGGATCTTCTGTCCCCATTAGTGCAGCCTCTGGATTTATAGATGGGGAGACTGAGGTCCAGTGAGGTGAACCAACATGCCAGAATTATGCGTTCAGGCCAGTGGTTCTTAATGTGTGTGGTCTATGGGTCCTTCACATCAATAAGGCCATTTCAGGGAGACTGTTAGGCAAAACTCTTTTCATGGTGTTCCAGAAACATTTTGTGTCGTTCACTGGGTTGAAATCTGCACCAGTGGTGCCCAGACACTGATGGGTAAGAGGCAGGCTCCTTGGCACAAAGTGAGATGGTAGCACCAAATGTATTCTTCACCCAACACAGCTGCAGTTTAAGGAAAGAAGCCATTTTATCTACTATTCTTGATGAAGCAGCAAAATGATGACTTTACAAAAATGCTGACCCTTGAGTACACAATTTAATATTTTGCGTGATAGCATAGATGGTAGGCATAAAGTACTTGTACATATTGTAGATCTGTGGTTACTGAGAAAAACTTTCATGTGATAGTTTGAGTTGTAAGCTGAGGTAACCATTTTTAGTGGAACACTATTTTTGTTTGAAAGGAGGCTGGAAAAACTGTGCTTATTCAGTCTGGCAGGGTTTCTAGAAAATGGATGAAGTGAAGTGAGCCTGTCACTACACGGCAAATGACTGACAATATTTGTTGCCAAAGATAACATTCAAGCTTCCTAGTAGAATTAGATTCTGGAAAAACTTATATCCCACTGTGAGCATGACTACTTCCCAGTGCTTAATGATTTTTCTGATGGAATTGGTAATGATATTCACATATGTGATTTTCTGATATAAAGAAATATATCAACATTCAGAAGATTGGCAAAACCCGATTAATAATATATTCCAAATAACTAAGGTTACAAAATTTGTCACGGGTAAAAGATCCATTCCAAGTGTAAGACAGACAAATGTAACAAAGAACGGGAAGTTTACATTCCATATTGTAGCTAACCTTTGAGAAACTAATTTCTCAAGTATTGGTGTGCTATCAAAGAAGATTTACAGTTATCTGAAAAGATTACTAACATTCGATTTCCTCTCCCAGCTAAATATTTGTGGAGCTTGTTTTCTCTTCGTATACTAGGTCCTATTGCAGCAGGTTGAATGCAGAAGCCGCAGTGAGAACCCAGATGTCTATGACCAAGCAAAATGTGAAAAAGTGCTGCTACCCCACTACATATGCTTTATTTTGTAAAATTGTTTTCACAAAATCCTGTTGTTTATGTTAACATGTAATAGGTTTATTATTGTTAACTTAAAAATGAATAAATAAATATTAAAATGTTTTTTTCATTTTCACTTCCAGTATGGTAAAATCCCTAGCTATAACCCACATAAACAAAAGCTCTTGGGGGTCCTCAGTAATTTTTAGAATGTGTGAAAGGGTCCTGAGGTCAGAGTTGAGAAATACCGGTGTAGGCGGGTCTCGCTTGGCGCATGCTGCATCATCTTATACATCATACTTCCTCTATTGAACCAGTAGAGGTTTTTTTTCTTTCCTTCTCCTATTTTAGCATTTTTGAAATTGGGGCTCCAGTTGTTTCGGTCTGTATGTGTAGCTGATGTAATAGTTCTTTACCTCTCCCAAATCTAATGACGCTATTAGTTAAAATCGGTGTTTGATTTCTAGGTGTAAGTAATTTTACTGTGAAAACAACAAAATTCTTCCCTTTTACAAAATTGAGACTAATGTTTATATCTGCAAGTAGCTAGAAGTGGAGTTTGTTTTCCAATGAATGGTTGAATAATAGAATTAATTTCATGATTTGGGTGGTGATGGAGCACTGACCCAGGCGCCTCAAGTTCTGGACAGGAAACTGTCCCTGCGCTCCTCCTGTCACCTCTCCGAACCTCCGCTTACTCGTCTGTGAAGCAAGTTGCATGTTCCTCCATTGGGACTAACGTTAAAAACAAAAAAAGATTTAGATCCTTTCAAGTCACTGGTTTTTTAATGTTATTTAATCTGTGTGTGTGTGTGTGTGTGTGTGTGTGTGTATAAACTGGATGAAAATGACATAATTTTCACACAACCATAAAACCAAGAAGAAATTATAAACCAATAAAAATGTAGATTCTCACCATCAGTGTGAGACACTGTGTCTAAATCGTAGGCAGTATGGGCGTGAACACATGGTGTGTTACAGGGTCTTTATATTTGGACCCAGTTTTGCTGCCCGTGTACACTCTGATACTCTGTTCTTGCAGCTGAACAATTGCAAGAAAACCTTAACTTCAAGATCATCATGATGTCACTTGGCGTTCCTTTGTTGAGAACACGTTGTTTACTTTTTAAAATGAGTTCTGTTCTTTTCTCATTCGCCTGGTAATCAGATCTAGGACACCTTCCTGAATTTGACTGTGGTCACCACTGTAACCATGGGGTCTGAAACTGCATGGGGGCACTCAGTTACAGGATGGTGCAAATGAAAGATCCAGACTGTCCTTATATTCATTTCTTTTACCGCTATCACTAAAATGAAAACAAGAAGTGGAATGAATTGCGAGCAACTCGTAGGAAGGGCTGCCTAGTAGCACGTCTCCTGGGACATCCTTTACAGTGTGGTTGATGTAGATGCTGCCTGGGGGCTGTGCCCCAGCATCTCCCCAGAAGGTGCAACCCAAGGGTCCGCAGTCCTGCTCTAACCCCCGTGGCCTCGAATCCTCTTTCTTTCCCTGCATCTAGAATTTTGAGAGCTACAGATACAAAGAAGTAGAGTGCTAATTATTTGTGTCTGTTTCAGACTAACAGATTAACACAGAGGTCATGTCCCTTCAGAAGATGATGATCCTAATTCATCTAATCTGAATCATGTCTGCAATGTATTTCTCTTGGGGAAATTTTCAGAAACAAGTTGAGTAAGCTGTTTTATTGTGTCCAAGTGAATTTGGTGAAACTTACAGTCCCTGAATTTATTTGGGGGTTGAAATGGACTTTCATGTGGTTATTTTATTATTGTGGGTACTGCTTTTAGTCATTACCTCTATACCATTTTTAAAGGCCTTTTGTGAACTAATAGTGCTTCTTTTAGACTTAATACACACACACACACACACACACAACTTGAAGGATACTACAGAATTCCTTAACAACTAAGTAATCAGCGACCCTGTTAATTGGAAAGCAACAGAGCTCATATCTAAGGAGCATTATTGTAATTTCCCAGAAGTATTTTATTCTTCCTCCTCCCCACTTTATTGCTTTTCTGCTTACAGTTTTGATTTTTGAATCTGGGAACAATTTTGTTAATTGAGAGGGAACTTTTTTATGGTAGGAGCATTGTACTATTAACATACATAGTTCCTTAGATGTACATTTTTGTGAACTTGTTTTGAGAGTGACTGTATAGTTCTTTGTTGTGTTTTATTTTTATTTTTTTTGGTACAAATTATAAGCAGCAAGAGCTGTCACAAGTTTTTATACACACTTTTTACACACTGAAACTTGAAAATTATTCTTCCCCATAATTTTCATGTATGTGTTGCTCTCAGCAAGTTAAGATAACCACCAACAATATTAAATGTTCAGTATATTTTTTTCTCTGGTAGTGTTATTCAGGCTCTTTCTTGGTTATCAAATCCTTTATTGGAAGCACACGTTAAATGCAATATTATCATGATTCATATGCTTCTGTTTTCTCTGGTTGTTTCTAATTTGCTTTAACATATTGGCTTGACAATGGTTTAAATATAACCTTCAATGTGTGTAAATAGTCTATCTTTAGTTTCATATCCTCAAGGTTCTCCGTAGCCACACCACTGAGCAAATGCGTCAGTATTCCAAAAATGTTTCTCATGGTAAATGATGAGTTTACTCCTTCACTGCTAAAGCTGCTTTGTTAGAGGCTTTTTATAAATACTTAACTTGTATCCTAGTTTTTGAAAAGATTACTCTAAGCGTAATTTCATCTAAAATTTTTGTCTTATGTTTATTATGCTTTTCACTCTGTTGATGTGTGGGGCTTTTGGTTCTGATTCTCAGTGCTAGGCTCATGTGCCTTTATTCTTCTCTCTGATTTTGTAGTTCTGTTCCTTTTCTGTAACAGTGATCACATCTGCTAGGATGTTCTCAGTGCTACCATTACAAATTTTAGCCTGGGTTTGTTGTTGATTTTGTTAGAGTCATTGCAAACACACTCCTCTTTCATTTGAATACAGTTGCTAAAACACCATCTTTTATGTAATTGTGTATGTGAGTCTATGGCAGACACTACCTGCGTATTGGTGTACTACTCTTAAGATTTCCGTTTTCTTAAGGAAAAGAAACATGTCTGTGCTCTGTACTTTCTGATAATACTTTGTTGAACAAAGGAAATACTTTATTTAACAGATTTCTTTAATAGCCGAGCCAAACCAATATCAGGATGATAAGAACAGCAGTGGTGATTATTGTCACTCTCTATTGAGTGCACACCGTGTGTCAGACACTGTCTTATGCACTTTAGCTCATTCAGTCCTCCCGGTACCCTTAGGAGAGCTGTTTGTGTAGGAAGGGCCACAGGCAGAAGACAGGGAGGCCACTTGCCCAGAGCCACACAGGTGACCAGGGTGAAGTGCAGATGCCATCCTGGCCTTCTCACTCCAGATATCCTGTAGGTACCATATTTCTTTCACAGTGAAGTTTTTAAAGGGACTAAGGGAATTTCTATTTAGGAGGCTGGCCCACTGTCACCTTAAAATGTTATTCTATTCTTTAATCTTTTGCTTTAACTACCTTTATCCTAATATGTAGTTTTCAGACGTTAGGTTATCTTTAATAACGCTGCTTTGTGTTGTAGATATGCCTCTTCACGTCCGACGAAGCAGTGACCCAGCCTTAATTGGCCTCTCCACGTCTGTCAGTGATAATAACTTCTCCTCTGAAGAACCTTCACGGAAAAACCCCACGCGCTGGTCGACAACCGCTGGCTTCCTCAAACAAAACATCGCCGGCAGCCCTGCAGCTTGTGACAGGAAGGTAACTGCTTCTAGTTCCTGTCATCTTTCTTTCAGTGGTGGGAGTCAGCCATGGACCAGGTCTTTGCTTCCATGGCGTCGCTGCTACGTCCTCTGTGACCTTCACACCAAAGTTCAGATAACTTCTTATTTTGTATTGCCCTTGAATTTTCTGATTAAATCCTTGCTATATATTGTGTATCTATTTATGTATCCATTTTTGGAATGGATAATCTGTTCCTATGATGAAAAATGAAACCTTTTAACATGAAGTATGTACACCTAAGGGCCCTCTCCTAAGTCCTAACTTGTCTGCTGGTCACCCCATGTCTCTTCCTGGGCAACCCCATTATGAGCTTTTTGCATGTCCTTACAGGGATCTTTTGTGCATGTATAAACACATATTCATGTTGGCCCCTGAGGTACATTAAAGAAATCACAGCATGTGAACCATTAAGGATGAAAGTGGACGCCATCCATGGTCATTTGCTCTCTCTACTCAATTGAAACGAAATGCAAGTGTACTGTCTAGTCTTAATAATATTCTCTTCTTTGACCAAATTTAATTTGTCCATGACCTAATTTATTTAGTCTAAATAAATAAGCTTTATTTTAGTCTATTTAGTCTACCTTTTTTCCAATTTGTGTTAATGCTCCTTGTCATATATTCCTACAGAAGCCGTACCATCCCCTTCTGTTATACCTCTAACCTTTTACCCAATGAGCTTTAAGCTGTGCTTGTCATTTTCACTGCTGAATCCATAAAATAGATTCTCAGCAAACATCTGTTGAATGAATTAATAAACATTTCAGTGCAGCCAGTAATTGAGCACCATACATATCGAGAAGTGTAGAAATATATTAATCACGTATTAATAGTAAAAATCAATGTAGTTTGATATTTGCTTGATTTATCCTTTGCATCTATGTCAAAATACCTGTTTTAAATATTTCTTTTATCTTTTTGGTTTCACATTTCAACAAACTCTTCTTCGTACCAGTTCAAGTAAAGAAAAAAAAAAGAAGGGAATATGTAAGTTTAAACTGAGAAGAATCTACCAAGAAAATACAATGTACTATAGTCTGATTTTTTGGATGAGGGGTTTAACTCTTCTGTTATATTTTATTAGATATGTGATGAGTTTCTTCTCATTGAGATTAGCCTGAAAATTTAGAGTGCTTTATCATGCAGTAGACTATTCAAAGAATCTGGTTTCTGAATAGGCCTCGTGACCTTTAATTTGTGCTCAGAATAGACCTGATTTCCATGGATATTCACAAATATATAACAAGTCAAGTTGGTAGTTTAAAGAAATTTATTACTTTAAAAAAAGGTTTTCGCTTAGTTGAAGGATAGGTGGTCTGAAGTCACTGAGGTAAAATCAAAGTTTTCTTTGTAACTCATTCAACATCTTGGCTGTATGAGTCAGCTTCAGTTACAGCAAACAGAACCACAGGAGCTATTTTCAACATAAAAGAACTTAATGTTGAGAATTTGTTTTTCAAAAAATTATTGGAAGGGCTAGAAGAGCAGACCATAGGCTGGGCCCCTGGGGCTTTCTGGACAATGCAGTACAGCGTGTCTAGCTGGCCCGGGGAGGGGGCAGAGGTGCAGGACCTGGCGTCCTGCTGCCTGCATTGGCCCAGTAGACGTTAGCACTGTCTCCACCTGTGCTCACCTTGCCGCCTGTCACCTGTGGAGCTGGGCCTGAACCTAGGAACACCCTAGAAAACGCCGTCATCTCCACGGCTTGCCACTAATAACAGCCCAAGAAAATCCCCTATTTCACAATTATCATTAAAATCTCAGGCTATTGAATCCAAATGGGCAGAATGCAGTTTGCTCCAGATTCTTATGTCTAGGGGTGTCTGGGAAACGGACTTTAGCCTTCCAGGCTCTGCAGCCCAGGGAAGCTGCCTGGAGAGGATGTTGATGCTTATGGCCAGTTAACCATGTCCACCTCACTGCCATTTTCTTTTATTTTGTTTTAATTTTTGGCCGTGCCATGTGGCATGTGGGATCTTAGTTCCTCAACCAGAGATTGAACCTGCGCCCCCTGCGGTGGAAGCATGGAGTCATAACCACCGGATAGCCAGGGAAGTCCCTCATTCGTTCTCTTTTAAATAACATGTGTCTATCATTGTAAAAAATTGGGCAACTAGTAGAATAGAACAAAATTACATTATCCATAATTCCAAACTCATCAACAACCAGTACTAAGATATAAGTGAACACACAAACACACACACACACACACATACACACACACACACAGAGTTGGAGTCATTCTTTGTCTACATATTTACATCCTGATTATTTCTACATTTTTTTCATCTCATAGGGATTTCCCCTGGTGTGAGTTTTGTTAGAAAATATTTTTAACGAACACAAAGTATTCCAGGGTAGAGTATACTTTATCATTCTCTTATTGTTGGACATTTATACTATGTTTTTTCACATTATAAGTATCAGCACTGTAAGACAAACTTGAATATAATTTTGTTTTAAAAATGGTTACTTTACCCAACAAGCTTTTTCCCTATTGGGAGTGGTATTTAATGTAGCCAGATGCCTACATTTTCCCATGGCAGAGACCTTGATTCACACACATATCTCTAGATGAAATCATATTCCCGTACGACACACATAAAAGGTAATGTGTAATGAATTTGTCTTTTGAATTATCTTTGGCTTTACTTTTCGAATACTTATTTACTAAGTTTCCTAGTCTAGATTTTTAAGCTGTTCGTATTTTAGTCTGAGCTGTTGTTTTTTTTTTTTAACAGGTATATGTCTGATAACTGCTGTCTTATTTTCAGTTACAAAACGACTTCCAATGTCTTTAATATTAAGAAAGGATGCTTGGAGGAAAGCATACTTGCTTATCAGTATTAAATTTATTTATTTCTGTTGCGTCCATGAGAGTTTACCTATGCTGGACAATTTCAAGATGTTATAAATTCTTATCATCATGTAGAGGTTTAGGTTTTCTGTATAAAAACACGGAAATCAATTAGTTAAGCGTTCACAGTCCTGTGAGTCATTGATCTCTAATGGTTAAAATAGGTTGGTGTTCTTTTATAACTCATCTGCATACGTAAGTAGCTTCTATTCTTCCAAGTTAAATAAGCAAAACAGTTTTAGTGTAATGTCACCAATCAGTTAAAATCTCTTATTTCTGAACCAGGCAGTTCCTTTCTCGTGTGTGAGAACACAGCCATGTTGAACTCTCCCTTGTGGTTCAAAACCACAGATGAGAGGTTGAGTCTTCCCAGTTAAACAGCAATACTGTTTCATCCCACTGTCAAGTTTAGAGGGCAAAGGCCACAGATTTTGATGCTGCTAAGCCAGGTGAGGGCTCGAAGAGACCAAGGGTTTCACGGGCTTCTGGATTTCTTAAATTCTGTCATAGTTTTATCTGGCAGTGAGGCATAGAGGGGATGAGAATCTTGGCTTTTTTTCAGAGTTCTTTGGAACTGGCTTATTCCTGTTACCCAGCTCTTTGTGGCTGACTGCCCTTTTCAACTCTTAGAGACCATTTTGCTCACAATTTGTGTGGAAAGTATCTTGCTAGAAGATGCATTTTCATTTGAGATTTTGTGTGTGCATATTAATACTTCATCTTGGGAAAGAATATTTCAGTCAGTGTGAATTCTCAAGTCGTTCTGCCAACTCGTTAGCCATCCTTACTAGGTCCGTGTCCCTGTGAATGAAGAGGCCACCAAGGATGTGGACAGGGTTTGATTCATTCCACTGTAATGAGGCACTTATCAGAATCAATCAGTCTGCCATGAGGTTTTAGGAATCGGGTCTCTGTTCTGTTCGTTGGGCAGTGGTTGTAAGCTGTTGTTCCTTCCCGTAAATAATAAGAGGTGTTGTTTTTCTAAGTTATATTGCCCCCAATTAACATAGGTCGAATTAGCATAAAATCATATTTTGACTAGTTTCCAAGGGAGATTCTTAACTGATCAGGGAAGGGGAGGAAAGTGGTAAGAGAACATATTGCCTTGGCATCATTAGGTTAAAAAAATGTGTTTTTTTTCCATTTCTTAAAGAGATGTTTAAGAACATCTCTGGATGTTTCTGACCCTCTGGGTTTATTATTTCTGTTTGATTTAGTTGCTTGTCACATTTGATATCTTTCCAGTACCCCTGATGCATGCAAACTCTTGGAAGAGGTGCTGTCTTAATTATGTCTTTGTCACCTCTCTTTCCATTACATTCAAAGCAATGTGAGATCTTCCTTCCTTTAGAAAAAAATGATTTTTACAAATCTTTCTTGTGGTATTTTTTTTTTTTTTTTTTTTTTTTTTTTTGGTTCC